AACGGCAGGCATCGGGTCTCTGCTGGAGACATGCAATAAGGCAGCTGGCGAGACCCACATATGTTTGGTTTTTTTCCTCAGCTCGGAGTCCGTAAAAATATAATTTCACATCCAGCCCTTGCCTCGTGTGTATGTCAACATCCATGCCTGTTCTGCTCCGGGTATATTCTTTGGCTCAACAAATGGCAATCAGGCAATCATGTGATGTCGGACGTTTTATTTTCGCAAGACGCTCTTCATTTATTGCAACCAAAGGAAATGGATAAAAGAAAATATTTGCAGTTCAAGGTTGAACAGTGTTCTCTGAGCTTGCTGGCTTTCTTGCAGACATTTCATCACCCCGCTAAGTAACATCATCAGTGCTAGAAGGGAGTAGGATTTGACTGGCTGACTGACAGACAGACAGGCACCAAGTGGCTTGGTCCTGCCAGTGTTAGTGGGAGCGTTCTTGGTGGTTCCTTGACTTGGCTGCTTTACTGTTANTTGAGCCCGACATTTCTGTCGCTAAGCAAGACAGTTGTTAAGTGAACTTTGCCCCATTTTACCCCGTTTCTTGCCACAGTTGCGACGTCAGTTCCAGCCGTTGTTAAATCACTAACACTTAACGCTTAACTTAACACTTCACTTCACTTAACGGTTGTTGTGTATCTGGCTTCCCCTCATTGACCTTGCTTGTCAGAAGATCGCAAAAGGGAGACACGGCGACCGTCATAAGTATGAGTCCGTTGCCAAGTGTCTGAATTTTGATCATGGGACCAGGGGGATGTTGTAACCGTAGTGTTGTACCTACGGTGTCATGAAATGAGTGGTTGTTAGGTTGACTAACTATATGCTCTACGGCAGGGCTTTTCAACCTGTGGTCCGGGTACCACCTGTGGCACATTGGCACCTGGCAGGTGGTACGCGACCATCCTAGAAAAGTGGTAGCGGGGGACGGGAATGAGCTGAACCGGTGGCAGCACCGCACAAGCCTGAGCGAGAGACGGCTGGAGCTGCAGGGCTGTCAGGGCTCAGCGGAAGCGCCAGGATCAGCACTTCTTCAGGGCTGTCAGGGCTCAGTGGAAGCACCAGGATCAGCGCCAGGATCCAGCTGGAGCTCGGCGCTGATCCTGGAGCTTCTGCTGAGCCCTGAAGAAGCGCCGATCAGCTGGAATGTTGCAGCATCTCCAGGGTCTTGTGATTTACATTCAGATGCTTGGCAACTGATTCATATTTATGACGGTCACAGTGTCCCAGGGTCATGTGAAGTGACCAAAACCTGCTGCAACCACCCAGCAGACGGGGGGAATAAAAACCAAACACACCCCACCCCACCCCACCCCCGCTGCCAATCCTCAACAGAAATGCTCACAACAATGAAAACCTCGGACAGGAGGAAGAGCGTGGCCAGATGGGCAGGCAGGTGTCTTGCTCAGCTGTGGCTTGGGGGGCATTTTTTTCAGTGCCATTGTAACTTCGAACAGTCACTAAGCAAACTGTTGTAAGTCGAGGACTACCTGTACTTTATCACTTTTTTCCTTTTTTGGGGGGGTCATCAAGTTTTTGACACCTTGCTAGGCGACTCGTGGTACTTGGATGTTGCCATATCCTAAAAGTGGTACAATGGGTGAAAAGGTTGAAAAGCCCTGCTCTACGGCGCCAATGATGACACTGAGACACTGATTTACAATTCAGTTTGAAACGGTTCAACAGTCACTCAAGGAACTGTTAGTAAGCCGAGGACTGCCTTTACGTTCCCTGCAACCGATTGCTCGGCTAGTGAGTTCCGCTTTCCTTTGGGCTCGGCAGCGGTGAGTAGCCTGCTAGCACGAGGGCCACCCATTTCTACCTAAGGTTCTTCCAGTTCACCCGTGCTGTGGTCTTTCTGAGGCTCTCTTTCAGGGGCGTCTCCACAGGTTCTGCGATTTGGCTTGGGCCCAACCCGGTTTAAAATGGACCTCTTTGTAAAATGGTACAAGGAGGGGGAGCGGATGACTCAGTGCTTCTGTTGAGGCAATTTTGCAAAGCTGAGCCAGGCTTGGGAGCCAGTGGGCAATCTGGACTGAAGCCCGTTTCTGAGGACATATTGCCCATAATATCTCAAGCCAACCTATGGCCTTGGGTTGCTGCATCCACTTTTGGTCACCACGATGTAAAAAAAAGATGTTGAGACTCTAGAAAGAGTGCAGAGAAGAGCAGCAAGGATGATCAGGGGACTGGAGGCTAAAGCATATAAGGAAAGGCTGCTGGAACTGGGTAAGTCTAGTCTAATGAAGAGAAAGACAAGGGGTGACATGACAGCAGTCTTCCAGTATCTCAGGGGCTGCCCCAAAGAAGAGGGAGTCAAGCTATTCTCCAAAGTGCCTGAAGGCAGGACAAGAAGCAACGGATGGAAACTCATCAAGGAAAGAAGCAACCTAGAACTAAGGAGAAACGTCCTGACAGTGAAAATAATTACTCAGTGGAACAGCTCGCCTTCAGAAGTTGTGGGTGATCCAACACTGGAAGTTTTTAAGAAGTGATTGGCCAACTATTTTTCTGAAATGGTACAGGGTCTCCTGCTTGGGCAGGGGGTTGGATGACCTCCAAGGCCCCTTCCAACTCTGTTATTCTGTTAAATACATCTAAAATTTCAGTCTTGGTTTCTCTCCAGTTTTAGAACGTCATACCTTCGTTCAGGTGAAAGATGAAAGAGTTGAGGACAAATTGTGTAGGAAGCTTTAATCATTCAGAGCACGGCTGATAGCAGTCTTCCAATATCTCAGGGGCTGCCCCAAAGAAGAGGGAGTCAAGCTCTTCTCCAAAGCACCTGAAGGCAGGACAGGAAGCAATGGAGGGAAACTGATCAGAGAGAGAAGCAACCTAGCACTAAGGAGAAATTTCCTGATATTTTAGAACAATTAATCAATGGAACGGCTTGACTCCAGAAGTTGTGGATGCTCCATCACTGGAGGCTTTTAAGAAGAGACTGGACAGCCATTTGTCTGAAATGGCATAGGGTTTCCTGGCTGAGCAGGGGTTTGGACTAGAAGACCTCCAAGGTCCCTTTCAACTCTGTTATTCTATATAAAATCAGAAGCCACTGCTAAACCTGACTTCGGTAAAGCTTCTTTCACTGTAGGCAAAGAGCTTGTCTGGATTTCTTTTTCCTTCCACGGCACAGAGAAATGATTTCCCTTCCTTATCAGTATATTTCAATCATAGATAGTCCTCGGCTTACGACCACAGTCAGCTGAGCCCACAATTTCTCTTGCTCAGGGTTACAGTTGTTAAGGGACTTTTGCCCCATCTTACCCCTTTTCCTGCCACAATTGTTAAGTGAATCACCGCAGTTGCTAAGTTAGTAACACGGTTGTGAAGTGAATCTGGCTTGTCAGAAGGTCATCAAAGGGGATGACAGGACACCGGAACGCTGCAACTGTCACAGGTACGAGTCAGTTGCCAAGTGTCTGACTCTTGATCACGTGACCCTGGGGAATTCTCAAACGGTCGTCAGTGTGAAAAAAAGAATCAAAAATCCATTTTTCCCTCCAGTGCCCTTGTAACCGTGAAATGTCACTAAACAATCTGTTGTAAGTCAGGGACTATCTGTACTCAACTTCCACTGAGAAAAATGGTGCTAATAAATCCCCTCCAGATGTTTATTCTTCCCCTTGTTTTAGGCTACCGTTTCCAGGAACTTTAAACATTTATAATCAGTAAAGGCTTTGCAATCCAAAATATCTGGAAGGCATCAGCTGGCCTGCTCTGTTTTTTGGGGGTTTTGTTTTTTGAGAATTTCATTTCCCAAGCAACCCATTTCAGAGCTTAACAATCCAGATGTCCTCTGACGGAAGTTACGAAATGGGAACGATTGTCTGAATCGTCCTCAGTGTAACAATATCTACTAGGAACCGAAGAACTGGTTAGACATAATTTCCACAGCTCCTTGACTTTCCTATCAAGTTCTAAGACTTCTAAATTACTGTTCTCTCTTGTTCCTGATGTAGGTGCCCATAAAACTATTGCAACTCTGATGTGACACAAGAGATCTGGATTTTTTTTTTTTAAAAAAAAGTTGACATAGATACCCAAGGTAACGCTTGAGTGCACATCTATCCATCTTTTCACACTCTGGCTAATAAGCATATTCATGGCATGTAAATAAGGCTGACCCAAGTCCATGAATAAGTGGATGAGCAAAGCAGAAAACTCTTAAAATATTCTTTTTCTTCTTCTGTTTTTTCTCTCTCTCAATAATATGCACTACGTACACGGCAGCCGATACATTCTGTATTACTTCTTTGCGGAGATAAATTAGTCATACAACTCAGATGGACGTCAACGGCCTACGGTTAAAAAGAAAAAAAAAGCAACAAATGTTCTGTAAAAAGTGTAAACTTTGGTATCTTTTGAATGGCTTCTTTCTCCACCCCAAAGCAAGGTTCCATCCCGGTCCCCCTTGAACGAATCGCGTGACAATAACAATAACAATAATAAGCACCTGATATACAACATAGATTTTTTTGGGGGGGCGGGGTAGGAATTGACCGGCCTCTTAGTTACTGGCTTTCTCAATCACATGCTTTCTGAACATTCAAGAAAGTCAAGAGTTTGGGAAGAGAGGTGGACACGGAGGAGGAGGAGGAGGAAGAAGAACATATGGCTGGAAGCATCCGTCAAGTGAACCTGCACTTTTCTTTCTTGTTCAGTTGTTGACGTGAGTCTCAGGTCTGAAGATGTTGCACGGTGTCTTGGACAAAGCAAGGAGACCACTTACCTCTCCCATGGACTCCCCACTTTAAAATTAAGATTCCTAAAGTTTCATCTCCCTAGAGTGGAAGATCTTAATGGTTGCTGTCTTTCAGCTGGCTCTTCGTTTCTCCTTGAGGTTCTGGGAGAAGAAGGAAGGTCAACGGAAGCGGGATGGTGTGTCACCGCTGGCCTGGTATCAAACAAAGGTAAGGAACGGTGACTAAGAAGAGGCCCATGATTGGTGGAAAGGTTATAGTGCGATGCAGCTGGTCCAGGAGTCTTGTTACTGGCTGGATTCCGAAGTTTCCGATGAGATGGATGAGCAGCTTGGACCTTCCTGTAGATCGGAGGAAGAAGGACCTGGGTATTGTCTTCTGGCGAGGACATTCTGCCCGGAGCACTTTGTCGCTCGGAGTGAGGAGGGACTAAAGAAGTCGGGGTGACCAAAGGCTTTGGGAGGACCGCAGAGCTGGCGATGAAGCCATCTTCGGTTCCTGCTGCTGCTTCGCTGTAGAAAGGAAGCGGGAGGTGGACGCTACGTTGGCTACAGGATTCACAGCATAACTTTTTGTAGCCTGGGATGGAGCAGTATCGGGCGAGCACTTCCATCTGGCAGAAGATCGACTTGTCTCCTTGGCAAGGTTCATCTGAAAAAACAAAAGCCCTTCATGTGTTAAAGACGGCAACCTCTTGAGAAACGTGGGATTGTGAGACAGGAAGAGGAGGAGCTTCCATAGAAGCTGCAAACTATGACGAGCGTCAGTCTGGATCCATTCTTACGTACCGAATCATAGAATGTAAAGTTTAGAACAGGGGTAGGCAACCTCGGCTCTTTTATGACTCGTGGACTTCAACTCCCAGAATTCCTGAGCCAGCCACGCTGAGGGGAAAGGGAGGTTTCCAAGCTGAGCCATGCTGGCTCAGGAATTCTGGGAGTTGAAGTCCACGAGTCATAAAGCAGCCTAGGCCTAGGCCAGAGATAGGGAACCTTGGCTCTTTTATGACTCGTGGACTTCAACTCCCAGAATTCCTGAGCCAGCATGGCTCACTTAGAAGCTCTCCCTTTCCCCTCAGCATGGCTGGCTCAGGAATTCTGGGAGTTGAAGTCCACGGGTCATAAAAGAGCCAAGGTTGCCTACCCCTGGTCTAGGCCTAGGCCTCTTTATGACCTGTGGACTTCAACTCCCAGAATTCCTGAGCCAGCCATGCTGAGGGGAAAGGGAGAGTTTCTAAGCTGAGCCATGCTGGCTCAGGAATTCTAGGAGTTGAAGTCATAAAAGAGCCAAGGTTGCCTACCTCTGGTTTACAAGGATCTTGAAGAACATCTACTCAAACCCACTGATGGAATCTACTATTAGAGTATCACCAACAGGCGGCCCTCCAGCTCTGGTGTAAATGCCTTCGGTGAAGGAGAGTCCACCACTCCTAACTCTTCCATAGGGATAGTTAGTTTAAGCACAAATTATTTTCATTTTGCTACTGCTCAACAAAGCAGCTGATGCACTGGAGACAAATTCTTTGGGTGTCCAATCACACTTGGCCAATGAGGTTACTTCTGGAGTTAATCTAATTTCATCATTGAGACCAAGATGCAGTTACATTGGCACGTTCTTTAGCATTTTATGAAGTATCCTAATATGATTTATTTTGTTTGCTTCTTTAGTATCCTATGTTTATCACTGAGTATTGTATCTTATAATTTATGATTATTGTATTTTATGATTATGATCATGATTTATCACTTGTTGCTTGTACACTGAGAGCTTATGCACTGGATACAAATTCCTTGTGTGTCCGTTCACACTAGGCAAATATTCTATTCTATTCTATTCTATTCTATTCTATTCTATTCTATTCTATTCTATTCTATTCTATTCTATTCTATTCTATTCTTATTTCTTATTCTATTCTATTCTATTCTATTCTATTCTAATTCTATTCTATTCTTATTTCTTATTCTATTCTGTTCTTATTCTTTCCTATTCAGAGTTCTATTCTGTTCTATTCTTATTCTTTCCTATTCTTAATTCTATTCTGTTCTGTTCTATTCTTATTCTTTCCTATTCTTATTCTGTTCTGTTCTGTTCTAGTCTATTCTTATTCTTTCCTATTCTTAATTCTATTCTGTTCTGTTCTATTCTTATTCTTTCCTATTCTTAATTCTGTTCTCTTCTGTTTCATTCTATTCTTATTCTTTCCTATTCTTAATTCTATTCTGTTCTATTCTATTCTTATTCTTTCCTATTCTCTATTCTATTCTATTCTATTCTATTCTATTGTATTCTATTCTATTCCATTCCATTCCATTCCATTCCATTATCAATATCCAGGCATGTTTTTCTCTCTCCCATTTCTAGAAATGGGTGGTGTACTTCAGAAAATTCTTGCCTGTCCTGGGACACACATGCATTTTTCCTACGCAGTTTTGAGAAGCTCCATTATGAACATGGGTGAGGACAGAATTATAAACGGTAACTTACTCCTCTTAGCACTCTCAAGTTTTAGCAACATTTTGAAATGTCAAATGCTTTAGGAGTGCATCTCCAGGGAGCTAGTGCTTGGATAAATAAGATTAGAGGGGATTAAGTAAATTGCCCCCTGAACTGCACCTTGCTTTCTGGAAGAAAAGCAGTTTCTACATATTTTACTTAAGAGACCTGCTCAAAGTTACATCCTGCTTCATACATTCCATACTGGTTGGCCTTTCTGCACAGGCAGCTGGGACTTCTTAATTTTTTTCTCTGAAAATTGCCTCCTATCCTCAACACTTCGGCTTTACTCAAAACCTTTGAGGAGGCTTTAATGGGAACTGCTGATCCTTTTTACTCTGTGTTGGAAAGCATCTGGGATGTCTCCCTCTCTCCCTAACTAAATGTTTTAAAAATGTTTGCCTTCAGGCTTTTAAATATCTGATGGGCTTGTCTTAACATTTCCATCACTTGCTGTTTTATTGATTGGATTGCCTTTGTTTTTCAAAGAGCTTCATCATTGCTTGCCCTTCTTTGCTTTTTTTCTGCAAATCACCCTGAAAAAAAGCACTTGTTGTTGGGCCCACTGGAGACTGCGAGGCTAATTGGGAAGATGTGGCTTCAAAGGAAAGAAAAGTATAAAAGCAAAACAAAACAAAAGACCACTTCTTAGCTATAGCAAGTGTGTCAAGAGGAAAAAAAAACAACAGAACTTGGAATACTGGGGCTGGAAAGGACCGTGGAGGTTATCTAGTCCAACCCCCTGCTCAGGCAGGAAACCCTATACCATTTCGGACAAATGGCTGTCCAGTCTCTTCTTAAAAACATCCAGTGTTGGAGCACCCACAACTTCTGGAGGCAGGTTGTTCCACTGGTTAATTGTTCTAACTGTCAGGAAGTTTCTCCTTAGTTCCAGGTTGCTTCTCTCCTTGATGAGTTTCCATCCGTTGCTTCTTGTCCTGCCTTCAGGCGCTTTGGAGAATAGCTTGACTCCCTCTTCTTTGTGGTAGATCCTCAAATATTGGAAGACTGCTATCATGTCCCCCCTCGTCCTTCTCTTCGTTAAACTAGACATACCCAATTCCTACAATTGTTCTTCATTGCTTTACCTTACAGTCCCCTAATCACCTTTGTTGCTCTTCTCTGTACTCTTTCTAGAGCAGGGGTGTCAAATTGCCAGCCCACGGGCTGGATGCATCATGCCAAAACCGTGACCATCCCATTGCCAGCAATGGAAAAAAAGTCACATGACGTTGTGAGTTTGACACCCCTGTTCTAGAGTCTCGACATTATGATTCTTAGGGATGTAAAGAAAATCCTGATAACCTACTAGGTTTCTTTCTATGGATGCAAATTCTTCCTCTATTTTGTGCTAGGAATGAAGTCAGCTTAATAGGATTGTTTTGGAAGCCTTGATGTTTGAAATGAAGCAGAAAAAATTCTATGGATTCCCAGCGTCGCCAAATGGATAAAGCTCTGCTTCCCTCTAGTGTCCAGATGTTCAGAAACATCCTAAAACTAAAAGCAAGCTATATACTTTTTCAAGGATGTTTATCTTACCGAGCTGGTGCCTGACAACTTCTCGACAACTTTGACCTGATTTCTAGGAAAGGTGGACGCTCTTTTCTCTGGGACAGCCCCCCGAAAATGGGAATACTTCCAACAGGTCACCCCTAGTCCTCCTCTTCATTAGACGACACGTACCCAGTTCCTACAACCGTTCATCCCAAGGGTTTATGACAGGGGTCTTCAGACTTGGCCCTTTTATGACTTGTGGACTTCAACTCCCAGAATTCCTCAGCCAGGCACGCTGGCTGAGGAATTCTGGGAGTTGAAGTCCACAAGTCATAAAAGGGCCAAGTCTGAAGACCCCTGCTCTATGACTATTCGCCCTGGCCAGCTCGCCATGGCCAACCCGTCACAGCCAACTCAGCAGAGCCAACTCAGCACGGCCATCTTGTTGCGGACAACTCGCTGCAGAACAACTTGCTGCAGGGCAACCCGCTGCAGGACAAGAGTTACACTAATATCAAAGCAATGCTGGAATAGAATCATTAAAGAAAGGAGGGATGCCAAAGGAGGAACAGAACGAAATGTGAATGGCAAACATTAAAATAACTTTTTATTTATTTTAAATAATTTAATACCATTGTTAAATTGGCCGTGGCGAGTTGTCCCAGGGCAAGTTAGCCATGGCAAATTGGCAGTGGCAAATTGCCCCATTCCGAGCCTCCAATCCCCTTATCCTCTTTGTTGTTCTCCTGGCTGCCCAATCTCTTCTTAAAAACCTCCAGTGATGGAGCACCCACAATTCCGAGAAGCAAACTGTTCCATTGATTAATCCTTCCTATTGTCAGGAAATTCCTCCTTATTTCTAGGTTGAATCTCTCTTTAATGATCTTCCACCCGTTGCTTCTTGTCCTGCCCTCAAGTCCTTTGGAGAATAAGTCAATCCCTCCTTCTCTGTGACAGCCCTTCAAGTACGGGAAGACTGATATTCGTGTCACCCTTAATCCTTTTCTTTGTTAGGCTAGACCAAGGGTAGGCAACCTTGGCTCTTTTATGACTCGTGGACTTCAACTCCCAGAATTCCTGAGCCAGCCGTGCTGAGGGGAAAGGGAGAGGTTTCCAAGCTGAGCCATGCTGGCTCAGGAATTCTGGGAGTTGAAGTTCACGAGTCATAAAGCGGCCTAGGCCTAGGCCAGAGATAGGCAACATTGGCTCTTTTATGACTCGTGGACTTCAACTCCCAGAATTCCTGAGCCAGCCATGCTGAGGAGAAAGGGAGAGGTTTCCAAGCTGAGCCATGCTGGCTCAGGAATTCTGGGAGTTGAAGTCCACGAGTCATAAAAAAGCCAAGGTTGCCTACCCCTGGGCTAGACATACCTAATTCCCTCAATCATTCCTCCTATGTTTTAGCTTCCAGTCATCTAATCATCTTTCTTGGTCTTCTCTGCCCTCTTTCTAGGGTCTCAGCATCTTTTTTGTATGGTGGTGACCAGAACTGGATGCAGTAATCTAAGTCTGTTTGTTTATTGTTTGTTTATTTAAATTTGTATACCGCCCTATCTCCCTTACGGGACTCAGGGTGGTGAACAGGCGATAATAAAAATCACAATAAATATCTATTCTAAAATCAGATTAAATAAATAAAGGCCTGCTCTAAAATACCCCATGTAAAACCTGTACTAAAACATAATTAATTAGTGGCCTCACTAAAACATAATTAGTGTGGCCTCACTAATGCAGTTTAAAGCAGTACTCTCACCTCAAGTGTCCTTAATACTATCCCTCTGTTGAGGCAGCTTTGAAAATGCTTTGCCTGAATGGTTTTTACAAAGCCTGTTGTTTCTTCCCATGACTCTTACATTTCTAACCTACGTGAACTGAATCTGTGCCTTGCGTGGATCTTTTAATCCTCTGAATTAAATCCTGCTAGTGCACTTATGGCCTGCTCCACCACCTGCACCCGATTATCACTTGCAAGATTCTGTGAATGTAACCTTACAGGAAATTAGAATTAGACAACCTGGTTGTGTTTTCTATCCAAATCTATCCAGTGGGTTGAGATCAATTTTGCAAGTCTGAAGGGGCCATTTTCTTCCATCAATTTTACCCTTGAGGGTGTTTTGTTGGGGAACTGCCAGCCAGGCTGGAAGGCGGAGTCAAGAGAGGATCTAGCTTGGAGTGCTTGTGCAGCCGCAAGCAACATAGGCTTGACCTGCCACAAAATCTGGTCATTCCCAGGAGAAGGCAAGCAGTCTGGGGAGATTCTTATAACACAGATGGTAGGTAATAAAGTTACAGACTTTAATTGTTTATGAGTGGCTCTGATTGCTTGCATCTGCCTACAGGAAAACAACTAAGCTCAGATAGCATCAAGGACCCTACAATGAGTAAATTACTACTAGTACTTACCATTGCAGGGTGCAAGTTTGCAAATCCTCATGGATTCTGGCTTTTCTCCATCACATTGATCACCAGTGCGGCACGACACCTGCCTGGATTCTGTCCCTTCACCACAGGTGACCGAGCACTACAAAGCAAAATAACAAGGGGAGAGGGGGCATGATACAAACAACTAGGTTTTTGCATCTGAATGCTCAGTGATGTTAGAGATGAGTGCACTGGTATATTTTTTTTTACAATGTATGGAAATATGGACTGACAATGTATGGAAATATTGACTTTCCAGGACAAAATCTGGAATTAGGATTCCTTGCTTGGTCTTTCATGTAACTGTTGTATATTACCAGGAGATGAGTGGGAATCCTGTAGGACATCATAGGTCAGCAACCTAAACAAGCTAAAAGTTTCCTTGTGCAGTTGTATCTGACTCTAAGGGACAGTGTTCATCTCCTTTTCTTAGCCGAAGGAGCCAGCATTGCCCGAAAATGCTTCCGTGGTCACGTGGCCGGCATGACTATATGCCAAGGAGTCACGGAATACTGTCACTTTCCCATCAAAGTGGTACCTACTAACCTACTTGCACTTGCATGCTTCGGAACTGAATAGAATAAAATGGAACTGGAAGGGACCTTGGAGGTCTTCTAGTCCAGCCCCCAGTTCAAGTAGGAGAACCTATACTATTTCAGATAAGTGACTGTCTAATCTCTTCTTAAAAACCTCCAGTGATGGAGTGCCCATGATTTCTGGGGATAAGCTATTCCACTGGTTGATTGTCCTCATTGTTAAGAAGTTCCTCCTTAATTCCATGTTGCTTCTCTCTTTGGTCAGTTTCCAACCATTGTTTCTTGTCCTGCCCTCTGGTGCTTTGATGAATAACGTGACCCCCCCTCTTTTTGTGGCAGCCCCTCAAATACTGGAATACTGCTATCATGTCACCCCTATTTCTTATTTTCTTTAGACTAGCCAAATCCAAGTCCTACAGCTGTTTTTCATATGTTTTAGTCTCCAGGCCTTGGATCATCTTAGTTGCTCTTCTCTGAACTTTTTCCAAAGTCTCAACATCTTTTTTGTAGTATGGTGACCAAAATTGGTTGCAGAATTCCAGGTGTGGTCTTACTGGGGTTTTATAAAGCAGTACTAATCCTTCGCGTGATCTTGATTCTATGCCTCTGTTTATACAACCCAGGATTGTGTTACCTTTTTTGGCTGCTGCTGCACACTGCTGGCTCTTAGTCAAGTGATCGTCCACTAGGACTCCAAGGTCCCTCTCAGGGTTACTGTTTTTGAGCCAGGTCTCGCCTAATCTGTACGTATACCTTTGATTTTTCCTGCCTAAATGTAAAACTTTTATTTTCTCCACATTACAATTCATTTTGTTGGATAGGGCCCATTGTTTGAGTTTGTCAAGATCTTGTCAAGAGTACAGAGAAGAGCAACAAAGATGATTAGGGGACTGGAGGCTAAAGCATATAAAGAAAGGCTGCTGGAATTGGGTATATCCAGTTTAATGAAGAGAAGGACGAAGGGTGATATGATAGCAGTATTCCAATATCTCAGGGGCTGCCCCAAAGAAGAGGGAGTCAAGCTACCGTATTTTCCAAGGCGCCTGAAGGCAGGACAAGAAGCAACGGATGGAAACTAATCAAGGAGAGAAGCAACCTAGAACTAAGGAGAAATTTCCTGACAGTTAGAACAATTAACCAGTGGAACAACCTGCCTCCAGAAGCGGTGAATGCGCCAACACTGGAAGTTTTTAAGAAGAGACTGGACAACTATTTTTCTGAAATGGTATAGGGTTTCCTGCCTGAGCAGGGGGTTGGACTAGATGACCTCCCTTCCAACTTCCAACTTCATTATTAATAATGAAGTCCCTTCCAACTTCATTATTATTATTATTATTATTATTATTATTATTATTATTATTATTATCATCATCATCATCATCATCATCATCATCATCATCATCATCATCATCATCATTATTATTATTATTATTATTATTGGATCCTGACCTTCTCTTCTGGGGTGTTGCTTGGTGGGCAAGAGCTGAAGCAAGAAACGGGAGCTCACCCCATCCTGCAGCATTTGGGTCTCAAACATGGGTTGTCAGATGACAAGTTCAGCATCTTTGACCACTGAGCCACTGCATTAACAGCCCAAATAGAAGAACACTAGCTCCTTGACATAATTCAACAGTAAGGACAGGATCCATTGTCAGGTAGGTAGTCAAGAATATTGTCTTAGCCCTTGTCACTATCCAAGTTAAATCTACACTCCTGGAAGAAAATAACTTTTCCAAAGGATCAGAAACTCGGGACTTGAGCTAAGGTTAGGCTAGTTTTCACAAATGAGAAGACTTTAAATGCTTACTGAACTCCACGGCCCTGTTTTCCACTGAGCAGGACACGGTGTTCTGTTACAAGCCCTGCGACTCTCAGGACGTTCTCCACCGCAGTACTTAAAATGAACGGAGCGATTTCCACCATCGTGAAGCAGCTGAACGCAACGTACACTTCGGATTTGATAGCCAGAGGTCCCACAGGTTTTGGTGCAGTGCTCCCATTCTTCTGCTACCCAGCTGCAAAAGAGAAAGAACTTTTTTTTTTTAACGCTGAAAAAAATGGAAGCTGGCGGACACGGAGAATTAATGATCCATAAAACGATCCTTGCGGACCAAAGAGCACGTGTAGAACATAACATTAAATGCTGCGTCGATTTATCTGGCCTAGATACCATTTTCCAAAACGGGCTTCTTTGTACAGATAGTCCTCACCTTACGACCACAATTGAGCCCAAAATTTGGGTTGCTAAGCGAGAAATTGGTTAAGTGAGTTTTGGCCCCGTTTTACGACTTTTCTGGTCACGTTTGTTAAGCGACTCACTGCCGTTGTCAAATGAGTAACACGGTTGTTAAGTGAATTTGGCTTCCCCAAATTGGCTTTGCCGGTCAGAAGATTGCAAAAGGGGATCACGGGACCCCCGGGACACTGCAACCGTCATAAATACGAGTCAGTTGCCGTCATAAATATGAGTCAGTTGATCATGTGACCCCGGGGATGCTGCAAGGCTTGTAAGGGAGAAAAACGGTCGTAAGTCACTTTTTTTCAGTGCTGTCGTAACTTCAAAACGGTCGCTAAATGAACTGATGTAAGTCGAGGACTACCTGTAATTCAGCGCTCTGGTGTTTTATATGTTGATGCAGATTTTATATGCTGAATTTGATGCAGCAGGCTGCATTATGCTACGCCGTGCAAAATAAATAAATAAATCCAAGGGTATTTCAGTTGTTCCCATTTGCCACGAATCAGTACCTTAATAAAGCAGAATACTAGAAAGAAAGTGCTGGAGTCTAAGCCAATGTTTTCTCTTTGCCTACAGGAGGCTCACTCTAAATCAGGGGTAGGCAACCTTGGCTCTTTTATGACTGGTGGACTTCAACTCCCAGAATTCCTGAGCCAGCCATGCTGAGGGGAAAGGGAGAGGTTGCCATGCTGAGCCATGCTGGCACAGGAATTCTGGGAGTTGAAGTCCACGCGTCACAAAAGAGCCCCAAGGTTGCCTACCGCTGCTCTAAATGAACATGATTCTGCATGATATTCTCCCATAATCTACAATAGAGCCGAGCAACTTTTTTGTTTTTGTTTTTGTTTTTAAAATAAAGGATGTACTTCTTTCCTCTGCACGGAAAACCTTGCACGGTATTGTTATAATATGACAGATGAGGCTGGAATTTCATTTTATGACCAATGCTTAGACTTCTAGGTTGGAAGCTCATTTTATTTTATTTTATTTTATTTTATTTTATTTTATTATTTTATTTTATTTTATTTTATTATTTTATTTTATTTTATTTTATTTTATTATTTTATTTTATTTTATTTTATTTTATTTTATTTTATTTTATTTTATTTTATTATTTTATTTTATTTTATTTTATTTTATTTTATTTTATTTTATTTTATTATATTATTTTATTTTATTTTTTTATTTTATTTTATCTTATCTTATCTTATTATATTTTATTATTATTTTATTTTATTATTTTATTATTTTATTTTATTTTATTTTATTATTTTATTTATTTTATTTATTTTATTATTATTTTTTATTATTTTACTTTACTTTATTATTTTATTTTATATCAGATTTTTATTCCACCTTTATTACTTTATAAGTAACTCATGTTGGTGAACATTCCTAACATTCCTTCCTCCTCCTATTTTTCCCACAACGACAACCCTGTGAGGTGGGTTGGGCTAAGGGAGTAACTGGTCCAAAGTCACCCAGCCTGCTTTCATGCCTAAGGCGGGACTAGAATTCACAGTCTCCTAGTTGATTGGCCCTAAGTCACCCAGCCCACATTCATGCCTAAGGGGGGGTGGGACTAGAACTTACAGTCTCCTGGTGATTGGCCCAAGTCACCCAACCAACTTGTATGCCTAAGGTGGGACTAGAACTCACAGTCTCCAGGTTTCTAGGCCGGTACCTTAACCACTACCCCAAACTGGCTCTCCTTTGTCCACATGTATATAAGCGAGACTGCAAATGAGTGAATCTACATTTTGTTCACTGGAGGAGAGATGCTAAGCTCTGCCAGACGAAGTTGCTTTGTTAAACCCAAGTGGCCAGGATGGATAGATTATGGAAAAGGAGCAGATATACTTACAACGGCTGAGTACATTCCTGAAGATTGCACATCCTACGAATCGGTTTAGGCTTTTTACTGGCGTCACAGAAGCCGCGCTGCACCATTTTGTTATCACTTTTCCTGCGGCACCCGTACTTGGTGAATTGGAAGCCTGGAGGAAGAGAGTGGGAGAACAGATAACATCCATGTTAAGTGAAAAATAATCTAGCTAAAAATAATGGAAATGTTTCATCTTAACAATTTATCTGCCCCAAAGAAGAGGGAGTCAAGCTATTCTCCAAAGCACCTGAAGGCAGGACAAGAAGCAACGGGTGGAAACTAATCAAGGAGAGAAGCAACCTAGAACTAAGGAGAAACGTCCTGACAGTGAGAACAATTAACCAGTGGAACAGCCTGCCTCCAGAAGCTGTGAATGCTCCAACACTGGACGTTTTTAAGAAGAGACTGGACAGCTACTTGTCTGGAATGGTATAGGGTTTCCTGCCTGAGCAGGGGGTTAGACTAGATGACCTCCAAAGTCCCTTCCAACTTTATTATTATTATTATTATTATTATTATTATTATTATTATTATTGTTGTTGTTGTTGTTGTTGTTGTTGTTGTTGTTATTATTATTATTATTATTATTATTATCCAAGACTGGGAACAAAAACACAGCCGTTGTCAGGTGTGAAAGACCAAGGCCACATGTTAAACTTCAACACAACTCCTGCCTATTCACAGGAATCTAATCAGCTAATAGTTACCACTATTTTGGCACTAATTATGAGTTAACGGAATTCAAGAGTTAGGATTTATCTTGATTCGTTTGGGGCTATGTAGAGACTCTAGGCTGAATCCTCTTTTGACTCCACCACTAGACCCTGCCTCTTCTTCTCCTACAATCATGCAGTTCCAGCATCTGCATATATTTGCAAGCTATAAAAGCCTGGATCGAAGTGGCCTTCTGGTTGCGATCCAATGGCAAAACATGTTTTGCATGTGGGAAGCAAGGCCAGAAAGTCCTGGTTTGGGACGGGGGGGGGGCGGCGGGGAGGATGGCCACAAAATAGAAGCACAAAGTTTGTTTTCTACATCGTTTTGCTGCTACCTTGTGGTCATTTGTGTTGTTGCCTATAAGATTGGATAGTTGTAACAAAAGATTTCAGGTTTTTGTTTTCTAGGAAGGAAGGAAACACTAGGCCAGGGGTAGGCAACCTTGGCTCTTTTATGACTCGTGGACTTCAACTCCCAGAATTCCTGAGCCAGCCATGCTGAGGGGAAAGGGGGAGTTTCCAAGCTGAGCCATGCTGGCTCAGGAATTCTGGGAGTTGAAGTCCACGAGTCATAAAGCGGCCTAGGCCTATGCCAGTGGTAGGCAACCTTGGCTCTTTTATGACTCGGGGACTTCAACTCCCAGAATTCCTGAGCCAGCTATGCTGAGGGGAAAGGGGAGTTTCCAAGCTGAGCCATGCTGGCTCAGGAATTCTGGGAGTTGAAGTCCACTAGTCATAAAGCGGCCTAGGCCTAGGCCAGAGGTAGACAACCTGGGCTCTTTTATGACTCATGGACTTCAACTCCCAGAATTCCTGAGCCAGCCATGCTGAGGGGAAAGGGAGAGTTTCCAAGCTGAGCCATGCTGGCTCAGGAATTCTGGGAATTGAAGGCCACGAGTCATAAAAGAGCCAAGGTTGCCTACCCCTGACCTAGGCTAATATTATGGTGTTGGGGGTGGGAAGATGACCACTAATTAACAAGGAATGATAGCAAAGTCAGCCTTTGTGCCAGCTAATGTTTGTCTGGATTTCTGATGCCCAAGAAAAACGTGCACATGGAGACCTTAGGGAAATACTTGCCAATCAGTGTTGGCAGTGTTACCTCAGCTATGTAGATCAAAGTCAGCACATAGTGGCTTGTTATGGTGTTAAACTTGTACTGTCTGTTTTGACTTGTTCTGAAGGAAAGTTCTCTCTCAACTTTATTATCTGAGATACTTTTCAGAATATAGAATAGAATACAGAATAATGAAGTTGGAAGGGATCTTGGAGGTCTTCTAGACCAGCCCCCTGCTCAAGCGGGAGACCCTATTATTTTAGACAAGTGGCTGTCCAGTCTCTTCTTGAAAACCTCCAGTGATGGAGCACCCACAACTTCTGGAGGCAAGCCATTCCACTGATGAATTGTTCTCACTATCAGGAAATTTCTCCTTAGTTCTAGATTGCTTCTCTCCTTGATTAGTTTCCATCCATTGTTTCTTGTCTTGCCTTCTGATGCTTTGGAAAAAAATATTTGAATTTCCCGTGACAATTCATCCTGTCTCCTTTCCTAAAAATTTTACATTTGTTTGCATGTTTCAGATAAATGTATAGCAGATCCTTCTGAATTGTTCCTGGTTCAGATATGGATCAAAATGCATATTAAAATTGTGTACTCAAGAAAATATTTTCGGGAACGTTCATTTTATAGAAAAACATTTTAAAATCGCAATAGCAACAGCACTTAGACTTATACACTGCTTCACAGTGCTCTACAGCCCTCTCTAAGCGGTTTACAGAGTCAGCCTATTGCCCGCCAACAATCTGGGTCATCATTTTACTGACCTCGGAAGGATGGAAAGCTGTGTCAACCTTGAGCAGGTGAGAATCGAACTTCCAAACTGCAGGCAGCCGGCAGGCAGCAGAAGTAGCCTGCAGTACTGCATTCTAACCACTGCGCCACCGTGGCTCAGTAGTTGATTTTGAAAAAATGAATTTTTCAAAATCAACCATTGAGCAGGTTTATTAGAGAAAAGATCAGTCTCAGCATAGAAATAGGACCAGAACATATTTACGAGTGGTGGTGGTAAAAGGTAAAGGTTTCCCCTGTCCAGTTGTGTCTGACACTAGGGGCAGGTGCTCATCTCCGATTCTTGGCCGAAGGAGTCAGCATTGTCCAAAGATGCTTCCATGGTCATGTAGCCAGCATGACTATACGCCGAGGCTCATGGAACACTATTACTTTCCCACTGAAGTGGTACCTATTTATCTACTCGCAGTTGCTTGCTTTCAGACTTCTAAATGGGCAGGAGCTGAGGCAAGGGACAGGAGCTCGCCCCATTGCACGACATTGGGTCTTGAACCTTTCCAACTGACAACTCAGTGTCTTTAATTGTCAACCTATCCCGTATTATGAATAGGTACAAAATGTAGACATCCCCTTGTTCTTCCCTTCCCAAGTATTCCAACGTGCCTCCTCCACAGAGCTTGGAGCACTGGGACCAACTCTTCAAAGCCCACTCAAAGGTGTCCAGTTCCTCTTGAAGGACATTGTTACTGCTGACATTGGGCACCGAATCTTCATGAATGATGTATCGGTAAATCAGGCTGGATTGGGTGTGGTTATCCTGAGGAATTACCTGTAAAAGGACAAGATAATAAAACTACCTGTCAGTATTACAAAACATGGAGTCCTTCTCTACCTTATTAGGCTCTTCAGCTATCGCCTCAACCCCCAAAACCCCAATTTTTTCCATGCCACATTAGTGCAGATTCTTCTTCAGCAAGATTTATTGAGCTGAAAGGGACAAGGCTGTAAGAATTTCAGCGACTAACATTTTTTTTCCATTTAGAATTAATGTGTCCCATATTATTAATGTACGGTGTTGTTACAGTATCTAGGAGACCACAATGCTATGGCAAAGTAGTAGTTTGGCTTGCCAAAGTACCAGCCTTGTTGTAGGACATGCTTGTACACTTCCCAAGTGTGCTACAGGAGGGTGAGCTGACTTCACACCAGAGAGAAAGATGAACAGCTCTTCCTGCCTTGTCATCCAAGGCCCCTTCCCAGAGTTGTCTCGCACGTGGGTGTCACAACTGGGAAGGTTCAGAGCCATCAGGAATCTGACTGCCTGCACAGAGCAACAGCTCATGTCCTCTGTCAACGCTGCTAACATTGGATGTTCTTGCTTTGACAACATACGGAAATGCAGCCTTTTTCTTTCTTATAGTTTACTCTTAGAATTAGATGATACTGGAGGGAGGGGGAGGAATGTGATGGGAGTTAGTTAGACATACAAAATTGTAACAAGAGCTGATAAGGCATGGCGGGAGAAAAAACTGGGTGGAAAACCAGCATTTCAAACTAATTGGAGAATGTGATTTATGACAGTTAGTTGTAGGAGGGAATTGTGCTTTGATCTATGTGCTGAAGGGAGGGGAAGTCAGATTTTGGCTTCGACTATGTACGTGCCGAAGCTATGCTGCTCGAGTAAAGATTATTTAACGTAAACAATGCCTCAAAGTTCTTTGAAGAGTTTCATCTTTCGGAACCATGACATCCTCACTAAGTAGTACCTATCTATCTACTTGCATAGAACATGCTATCGAACTGTTAGGTGGACAGAAGCTGAGGTGAGTGACAGGAACTCACACCACCACACAGTGCTAGGACTCGAACCACCGGAGCTGGGGACATCTCCAGCAACATTAACTCACTGAGCCGCTGCATCTCTTAATGTGTCCTTTAATAGATTAGATCAAACCTGAGCTGCATCCTCTTCAAAAATTGCCATTAACTTTTAAGACGACAGAATTTTGAGTACAACATCAATAGAGTTGATGACTTTGTAATGAAATTTACAGCTCTTCAGGATAGAAAGGTGCAGTCTGTTAATCATATGGGGGAAACAACAAACATCGCATAACCAACACTCCAGAAGACAGGCTTAAGATACAGGAGGACCTGGACAGACTTGAACACTGGGCGCTATCTAACAAAATGAAATTCAATTGTGAAAAAAGTAAGGTTCTACATTTAGGCAAGAAAAACCAAATGTACAGGTATAATATAGGGGTATAATATTATACCTGTATTGCTCAATAGTAGTAACCGTGAGAGGGATCTCGGAGTCCTAGTGGACAATCACTTAAATATGAACCAGCCGTGTGCTGCAGCTGCCAAAAAAGCCAACACAGTGCTTGGCTGCATTAACAGAGGGATAGAGTCAAGATCACGTGAAGTATTAATACCACTTTACAAGGCCTTGGTAAGGCCACACTTGGAATACTGCATCCAGTTTTGGTCACCATGATGTAAAAAAGATGTTGAGACTCAACAGAAAGAACGCAGAGAAGAGCAACAAAGATGATCAGGGGACTGGATGCTAAAACATATAAGGAACGACTGCTGGAATTGGGTATGTCTAGTTTAATGAAGAGAAGGACGAGGGGGGACATGATAGCAGTGTTCCAATATCTCAGTGGCTGCCCCAAAGAAGAGGGAGTCAAGCTGTTCTCCAAAGCGCCTGAAAGCAGGACAAGAAGCAATGGACGGAAACTAATCAAGGAGAGAAGCAACCTAGAACTAAGGAGAAACTTCCTGACAGTGAGAACAATTAACCAGTGGAACAACCTGCCTCCAGAAGCGGTGAATGCTCCAACACTGGACGTTTTTAAGAAGAGACTGGACAGCCACTTGTCCGAAATGGTGTAGAGTTTCCTGCCTGAGCAGGGGGTTGGGCTAGATGACCTCCAAGGTCCCTTCCAACTTCTTATTCTTCATCATCATCATCACCACCACCACCACCACCACCACCACCACCACCATCATCAACATCATCATCATCATTATTATTATTATTATACTTACCAGAATAAGAATGGCATCATGGAGAGGTCCATCTGTCTGAAGGGTTTCTATACCGTCTTCTATACGGTATTCCCATTCTAAGCCAAAGTCGATGAAGGAACGAGAGTGGGATCTCTCTCCTTTGCCGTTCAAGATATAGTGGCCAGTTGCCTGGTTCTTAATGGCTAAAAGGAACAACGGCAGTAAGCAGTCAACTCTTCATAGGCAAGATGGCAAATCTTTGTTCTTCAAAGCGAAGGCAAAAAGTTTAGGCTTCGTGACATGAATGAACGTCTTTTCTTTTGGGGACAATTTAAGAACTTCTCAGCCCTTCCATACTTTTATTTATTTACTTACTTATTTCTTGCCTTTATTATTTTTACAAGGCAGCGGACATATCCAACACATCTTCCTCCTCTTATTTTCCCCACAGTAACAACCCTGTTGTAAGTAAGTTGAGCTGAGAGCGACTGGTCCAAGTTAACCCAGGTGGCTTTCATGCCTAAGGCGGAACTAGAACTCATTGTCTCCTGGTGATTGGTCCAATGTCACCCAGCCAGCTTTCATGCCTAAGGAGGGACTAGAATTCACAGTCTCCTGGTGATTGGCCCAAAGTTACCCAGCCAGCTTTCATGCCTAAGGAGGGACTAGAACTCATTGTCTCCTGTTGATTGGTCCAAAGTCACCCAGCCAGCTTTCATGCCTAAGGAGGGACTAGAAGTCACAGTCTCCTGGTGATTGGCCCAAAGTTACCCAGCTAGCTTTCATGCCTAAGGCGGAACTAGAACTCACTGTCTCCTGTTGATTGGTCCAAAGTCACCCAGCCAGCTTTCATGCCTAAGGAGGGACTAGAATTCACAGTCTCCTGGTGATTGGTCCAATGTCACCCAGCCAACTTTCCTGGCTAAGGCGGGACTAGAATTCACTGTCTCCTGGTGATTGGCCCAAAGTTACCCAGCCAGCCTTTATGGCTAAGGCAGGACTAGAACTTACAGTCTCCCACTTTCTAGCATGGTGCATTAACCATTAGACCAGGGGTAGGCAACCTTGGCTCTTTTATGACTCGTGGACTTCAACTCCCAGAATTCCTGAGCCAGCCATGCTGAGGGGAAAGGGAGAGTTTCCAAGCTGAGCCATGCTGGCTCGGGAATTCTGGGAGTTGAAGTCCACGAGTCATAAAAGAGCCAAGGTTGCCTGCCCCTGCATTAGATCAAAGTGGCTCTCTTTTCTTTTAGTGACATATATTTTTTAAGGGGAAGAATCCCCCCCCCATAAAAAAAAATCTGTTAGTGATGGATTATAAATCTAACAAAGCAAACAGTTGAACAAGTCCTCTCATCACTCAACACTGTTCCTGGTGCAGAAGAAAATATGGAAGCAAAGGTTCATAGAAGCTGGCTTAGAAGACAGAGATACCGCAGCAATTAACTGAAGTGGAAATGCTTCTTGCGAAGACAATATACCCTAAAATATACACTAAATTCAGACGACGTTTTGGAGACATGCCTTCAGCTATCCATGAGCAACCAGGCCCACAGCTTCTAAAACAAGAAGACGTTGGCACCATCTCTGTTGCCACGACGGCCAAGACTAAGCAGAAGAAGCACTTACCAAGAATGTGAGGAGAAGCCTCATCTTCTTGGACAGTCACATGTCGAGCACCCGCCGGGATGTCAAACATCTTAAGGTACCCTTTGGCATGTGCAGCGAGACATTGAGAGACAGAGAAGAAGAAAGAAGGAGGAGGAGGAGGAGGTAGAGTAAAAGGAGAAAGAGAAGGAGAAAGAGAAAAAAATGGCTAGCATTAGTTAGCTGCAAGTAGAGGTAAGTCCCATTGAAGAACGGGTGCATCCATAGGTCTTTCATCATTAAAAGAGAAGATTAAGGCAGCTTGAGGACTAGGCTGCCTTAAATTTTCCAACTCCCTATGGAGAAGGAAAAGATAAGCGAAGGCCTCGGTAACACACTTACTTTGTTATGCTCTCTGAAGACCATAACATGGAGATCGTTTAGACCAGGGGTCGTCAACCTTGGCTCTTTTATGACTCGTAGACTTCAACTCCCAGAATTCCTGAGCCAGCTAAACTGGCTCAGGAATTCTGGGAATTGAAGTCCACGAGTCATAAAAGAGCCAAGGTTGACTACCCCTGGTTTAGACAAAGCGTTTATGCTTCCTATATTTCATGGGGGGAAACCACACCGTGGGGATTTTCTTTCAAAAACCTATGTGTTGTTGGAAGGTCAAAGCACCAATGATACCTCCCTCCCACCCCCAGCCAGTCCATGCATCAAACCACCTCTGGTCCATGGGAGATTCAATATAACATTTAGATGCTGCTTGGAGTGAGATAAGAGTCAATGGAATTCAAGGAAGCTTGGTGTAGGACAGGGGTAGGCAACCTTGGCTCTTTTATGACTCGTGGACTTCAACTCCCAGAATTCCTGAGCCAGCCATGCTGAGGGGAAAGGGAGAGGTTTCCAAGCTGAGCCATGCTGGCTCAGGAATGCTGGGAGTTGAAGTCCACGAGTCATAAAAGAGCCAAGGTTGCCTACCCCTGGTGTAGGAGATGACCAGGCTGAGTCTGAGGAAAAGGTCAAACGTGTCATCAGTCATGAGTCCCTTCGCGCCCAGCTTGAATTCCTTCTGTTTTTAACTCCTGCTAATTTCCCTTGAACATTAATAGTTCAGATTCTTGTAGAGAGCTTAAGCTTACACTAAATCTTTATACACATTTGGACTGCCTGGATCTCCTGATTTCCCTGGTGCCTTACAGTTCTCATGTGGCTATGTAGAGATTCTAGGCTGGTCCCTCTTTTAACTCCACCCCTGGTTCTGCCACTTCTTCTCCTATAATAAGTATTGCAACTTTCAGCATTCTGATTTCATAACCATATTCCATATTAGGTTGTCGAATAAAACTACCTTCCTCTTCAAGTACTGGGCCAGCATATTTATTTGCGACCCGGCTCAGATCCTAATCCAGGACTTTCTTCCAACAGTATGATGTCAACCCTGCTAACATCGGATGTTTTGCATTGACAACAGATGGAAATGTAGCCATCATTTTCCCTTTTGCTTTTAGAGTTAGATGATGCTGGCAGGGGAGGGGATGTGAATGAGAGTCTAGCTAGACATAACAACACTAAACCCAGTGTGAGAATCAAGGTTATTGAGCCCAGAGCTGATAAAGAATTGGCGGGCTGGAGAGCTGGGGAGGAAGCCCGCGCTTCAAGCTAATTGGGGAATGTGATTTATGACTGTTAATTGGTGGAGGGAATTGTGCTTTGATACTATGTGCCCAGGGGAGGGGAATTCAGTTTTTGGCTTCGATTATGCAGTGTCGATATTATGCTACTGGGATAAAAGATTCTTTAAGGTAAACAATGTCTCGAAGTTCTTTGGAAGAGTTTCATCGGTCGGAACCATGACATATGAATCACGGAAACCCTGATGAACAATTCTAATTACGGAATCCCAAAGATGCTTTTTCACAAGGCAACTGGACTTTCTTCAGTTGCTTCTTCAGCTCTTGGATTGGAGAGCTTCAGCTTCTTGGATGACAAGCAAAACATCTTCAAAGAAAAACAAGAAAGTCCAGTTGCCTTGTGAAAAAAAAACCCTTTGGGACAACCATGACTTGGATGACTGAGAATCTCCATAGACATCTAACTATGGAACTTTCAGGAGAAATTCCCATAGAAAGCACAAAGGCTTTGTCTTTTTTGCAGTTCTTGTAAGTGTCTGCCAGCAATGAGGAAAGAAGCAATGAGGGGGATTTAAGAGCAGCTATGGATGCCTGTCATCCTGCAATGGGACAAAACTTACCCAGGATATTTTTTGATATTTTGGTTTCAGAAACAGAAACGTCACGAGCTCCTTTGGGAAAAGTAAATGCACCTCTTGTCTTCCCTTAAACAGAACGAGTTTTGTTAATGATCAGATCACCAAAGTCTTGAATTTTCATTGACTATGTCTTGGTATGAGCTTTGTGGTCGGTCAAGCGTATTATTTACACTCCGACACTATTTTAAAGTAGTTTTGTCCATGTTGGCGCAGTTGTTTTACAAAACAGTCAATGAAAGTTAAGACTAAGGGAAAAAATCAAATGGATACTTGCAGATTTCATTTTCCAGATATTTGAGTTCATTTTGACATCTCTTGCTTAATTGTTTCCCTGTGGGAAGAAGTTAAGACTTTTTTGAGGGCTTTTCCAAACAGTAAAATGAAATGAAATAAAATAAAAATAATTTAATGACAAAGATAAAGCTTTACCAGGAATATAGAAATAATGGTTACAAGTCCCCAAAGTATAATCCTCAATGCACCAAGCATGAACAAAAAAAAAATTGTTCCATTAAAATTGTGCCTGTTTAGCTGATCTGTGGCTAATTTTACAACTATCGTAAATTCAGATAAACATGAAAACTTCACAAACTTCACAAAATTTGTCTCTACTTTCCATGACCAATTGGATTTTCCCATTGTTCTATCTCAAATGAAGTTGATTAAGCATAATACAGGCTTAAATTTTTATCATGTGCTGAGATGGACAGGCTTACAATGGCTATGAAAGATAAGACAGAACTGGAATATTTTGAAATCTGGGACAAATTTTATCGCTGGTATGAATCAAGGAGAACCGCTCGGATCTTAAGCTAACGATAGGATTGAAACATACATATAACTGTACATATAATTGTATGTATAATTGTATTGTGTAGAAGAATGAGGCTTATATAGAGATTAAGGATGATGTATTAAGTTTTTGTATCACAAGAAACAAACTGTTGGGAATATTTACTCTGGAATGCCACGTATGTCCATTTTTGTTTTAATTGTATTATAAATAAAAAACTTTTTAAAAAAGCATAATACAGGCTAAAAGTATTGATTGCCAATGTAGCATAGTGGTTAATTGACTGACACGAGGGAGGTCTAAGTTCTACACTGGGTATTTTCAAACTTGGCAACTTTAAGATGTGTGGACTTTAAATCCCAGAATTCCTCAGCCAGAGTTGAAGTTTATGCATCTTAATATTGCTAAGTTTGAAAAACACTGATTGGATAACTTAGTTGGATCATAATGTATACTTTCTTGAGAGGGCCTGGAAACCTATGAAGCAAATACACAACATGAACGGTGGATCCATGTTGTCCATCCAGACTGCAATATAGACCCACAGTCTCTCTAGCTCTTTCTTCCATAAAAAAACCCCCAGAAATTATATTAATATTATAGCTTAAATTCAGCAACAAATCAAGACTAACTGGAGCACATTATTTTTAAAAGTCCATAAAACATCATCTTTCCAGTCCTGGTGTCAGCAGAAAATCCATAAAAGGTAGCCAAAAGTAACAACAGATCTTATTTTAAGCTTGATCAAGTAAACCAATTTTATATTGCTTTCTTTTACTTCTAACAGCCTTAAAGCCTATGCACAGGATTCTTCCCAACTAATAGTCAGCACCTGCGTGGAGTTAGATAAGGATCAATGGAATTCAAGGGCAGTTGGACTTAGCTGCTTGTGGCGATGTAGGAATTCTAGGCTGATCCCTCTTTCAACTCCACCCCCATCCCCAGATTCATCTACTCCTTCTTCTCCTACAACAGTGATGGCGAACCTTTTAGAGACCGAGTGCCCAAACTGCAACCCCAAACCCACTTATTTATCGCTGGGTGCCAGGTGGGCATGGCAGACTGGGTGGGTGTGGCCAAGGTGGGCGTGGCCACCTCAATGTTGCTCGTGGGGAGGGATGCCTGTGGGGGCTGGGCAGAGTTGGGTGAGATCCGGGGGGTCTCTGGCAGGTGGGGCAGTGGGCAGGAGGTTTGTCCTGAGGGGTGAGGCGAGGCAGGGCGGGGGTCCCATTGTCGCAGGGCAAGGCAGGGCAGGGGCCGGGGGGCTGCTGCCTGACACCATCGGTCCCCACACACAGAGGCCAGCGAGCACATGGGGGCCGACAGTGTCCGTCAGCAGCCACAGCCTGCCGACCCTTCAACCGGTGCCCTCTGGGGCTCCGTAGCCCGCCATCCACAGTTAAGAGAGACCGCCTCTTAGCTGGACGGATAGCCGACAGCTGAGGAGGTGATGCACTGGGTCATGCCCAGGAAAAGGAGAGCATGCGAAGGGAGGAGGGATGGGATGGGGGGGAGGGAAACCAGCCATGCTGGGATGCATCCAGCCACGTGGGACCTCGGCGAGTTAGCGGGCAGCTGGTTGAAGAGGGACGGTTGCCATCTCCGGGGCATGGCGCGCGTGCCCACTGTCCTACAAAATCCTAGATCAAACTTCTTAACTTTTGCTTTCGCCCTTTTTAATCATTCAAATACAACTTAGAAACTAATAATAAAGAAGAAGCTAGGGAGATGGGGTTATCCTTACCAGATTTCTTAGGGATTCTAGTGAAGGTCCCTTTCACTGTCCGGCAATGTGAGTTGTCTCCTCCACACACTCCACACTTGTCTTCAGCTTTGTTGGACCCAATCTCTTTGTCGCAACCAACTTTCTGCCAAGAGAAGCAGATCAGCAGAACTGAGAAAAGCAGCAAAGTGGAGTTGAAAATGTACCAGTTCCTAATGCAATTCATTATCTTAGCCTAAAAACCTAGGTCAGTGGTGGCGAACCTATGGCACGCGTGCCAGAGGTGGCACTCAGAGCCCTCTCTGTGGGCATGTGTGCTGTTGCCCCAGCCCCACCTCCCTCCGCAGCCCCCTCATCAGCAGCCCCCCTGGAGAGCCGCCCCTGGGCGCGGCCCATATGGAGCAGCGCAGCCAAGGATATGGCAGCTGAGCAGCAGGGACAAGACTCTGCCCTTGCACCCCGTCGCATGCAGATGATGCTGCGGGGTGCGGGCAGAAGGTGTGGCTGCCATGGCACTGCAGGACTGCCTGGGTGAACTGCTGCGGCGGGCCATGGAGGCAGTAGGAGGCCCTGCGGGCAGGTGGGTGGCGGAGCGGGGGCGGACAGGCGGCGGAGTGGGGGTGGGCAGGTGGCGGGGCAGGCAGCAGAGCGGGGTAGGCAGGGGGGCGGGGCAGTTTTTGGGCACTTGGTTCGCCATCACTGACCTAGGTCAAGAAAATGCATAGCATCTGTTGCCAAGCTTCATCTTACCATTTTTCGCCTCTAGAGGTTAGGGGTGTTCCACTACTGTCAGTTTTTCAACTTCCAACGGTCACTAAATGAACGATTGTAAGCCGAGGACTTACTTTACTTCTGTCGTGACCATTTTAGCTTTTGGTAAAGAAACCATTTTGCCCTTATTTTTCTCTAAAACATCCACGCTAAGTGAATATTTTCTACACACATCTTAAAGAGTTTTTGTGAGGTTTCCTGGATCAAGCTGGAACAACCAAAGTTTATAGACTGAGGATAGCAATAGCAATAGAAATAGCACTTAGACTTATATACCGCTTCACAGTGCTTTTACAGCCTTCTGTAAGCGGTTTACAGAGTCAGCCTATTGCCCCCAACAATCTGGGTCTTCATATTACCAACCTCGGAAGGATGGAAGGCTGAGTCAACCTTGAGCCGGTCAGGATCGAACTGCTGGCAGTGGGCAGAATTAGCCTGCAATACTGCATTCTAACCACTGCACCACCATAGCTCCTTCCTTCCTTCCTTCCTTCCTTCCTTCCTTCCTTCCTTCCTTCCTTCCTTCCTTCCTTCCTTCACAATAGCACTTAGACTTTTATACTACTTCACAGTGCTTTACAGCCCTCCCTAAACGGTTTACAGAGTCAGCCTATTGCCCCCAACAATCTGGGGCCTCATTTTACTGACTTCGGAAGGATGGAAGGCTGAGTCAACCTTGAGCCAGTCAAGATCGAACTGCTGGCAGTGGGCAGAATTAGCCTGCAATACTGCATTCTAACCACTGCTCCACCACGGTTTTTGGTGATCACTTACCACACATTCTCCACGGACGCATATACTGAAGGGGTCCTTGTAAGAACAGCGAGTCCCATCGTGGGTCAGCTGTTTCATATAAGCAATGTCACCGGTCTCTTTGGACTGGCAGTAAAGTTGACATCTCTTGGTGGCTGTGGAGAGCAGAAAAACAATATTGCTTTGATGACTTTTAGGCTGGGAACAATTCACAATTTTACCACGCGGCGCGGTGTTGGCTCTCAGTTTGGCTGATGTCAACTCTTCAGAGTAGTCCAGACAGGAAACAGAAACCGTGAATACTAAGACTAACCTTTCTTGTGAAGTTACAGTATCAGAGTTTTGCAAGTCTGAAAACATTTCCCCCACTTTTACTTCACAGAGAATTAGGGAGGGTCTCTTCTGTTTGCTCCATCCCCATTCCTTCTATACAGGTAGCCCTTGATTCATGGCTGTAATGGAGCCTGTCCATTATGGTCGCAAGTGGCGATGCTCATTCAGCAAAGTGACCGTGTGATCTACCTTGCTTAATGGCCTCCACTTCTGCTCTCTCCCTTGCAGTCATCTGAAATTGCTTTTCTCATAAAACAGACACAATCTTTCTTTCTTTCTTTCTTTCTTTCTTTCTTTCTTTCTTTCTTTCTTTCTTTCTTTCTTTCTTCCTTCCTTCCTTCCTTCCTTCCTTCCTTCCTTCCTTCCTTCCTTCCAATAATAATAATAATAATAATAATAATAGTAGTAGTAGTAGTAGTAGTAGTAGTAAAGTTGGAAGGGACCTTGGAGGTCATCTAGTCCAACCCTCTGCTCAGGCAGGAAGCCCTATACCATTTTGAACCATTTCGGACCATTTTTCCTTCCTTCCTTCCTTCCTTCCTTCCTTCCTTCTCTTTCTTTCTTTCCTTCCTTCCTTCCTTCCTTTTTTCTTTCTTTCTTTCCTTTTTCTTTCTTTCTTTCTTCTTTCTCTCTTTCTTTCCTTTTTCTTTCTTCTTTCTTTCTTTCTTTCTTTCTTTCCTTCCTTCCTTCCTTCCTTTTTTCTTTCTTTCTTTCTTCTTTCTTTCTTTCTTTCTTTCTTTCTTTTAATGTTTTATTGATTTTCTAATTTTACATTTAAGTATTTAAAAAGCAACGTGGCAGCTGAGTTAATCGAAAATTCAATGACATACAAACATCTTTAGTGCAAGTCTCAAACTACATCAAATATTTCCTCTCTTTTCCCCTTAGTATTTACTGTCTCATGTTTAAACTAATACAATTCTTATTATATCAATTAAATAAAAATAACATTCTCACATTTATCAATAATTTTTAGCTTATAAACATCCTGGTTATTTTAAAATTCAGTCTTTATAGACAATCAATGTCCTAATTAGCTTTTCCCAATTTTTAGTTTCCCATTGTCTTTCTTTCTCCATTAAAAAAAAAAGGAGGCTGCATTGTATTTGTAGACCAAGAGCTGAACTGAAGTTTTATTTATAGCTGAACTAAAAGAAGTTAGAATTTATTCATTTTCTATGCATTTTTCTTTCTTTCTAATATTTTATTTTATTGCACCTCTCCATGTCTTTTCTCCTTATGTTCTGACTCCTTCTCCATTCTCTCTCTTGACTAAACTAAACCAAGAGTTAATAATAATAATAATAATAATGATAAAGTTGGAAGGGACCTTGGAGGTCATCTAGTCCAACCTCCTGCTCAGGCAGGAAACCCTATACCATTTCGGGCAAATGGCTGTCCAGTTTCTTCTTAAAAACTTCCAGTGTTGGCGTATTCACCACTTCTGGAGGCAGGTTGTTCCACTGATTAATTGTTCTAACTATCAGGAAGTTTCTCCTTATTTCTAGGTTGCTTCTCTCCTTGATGAGTTTCCATCCGTTGCTTCTTGTCCTGCCTTCAGGCGCTTTGGAGAACAGCTTGACTCCCTCTTTTTTGGGGCAGCCCCTGAGATATTGGAAGACTGCTATCATGTCCCCCCTCGTCCTTCTCTTCGTTAAACTAGACATACCCAATTCCAGCAACCGTTCCTTATATGTTTTAGCCTCCAGTCCCCTAATCATCTTTGTTGCTCTTCTCTGTACTCTTTCTAGTTTTCAACCAACAGCCACATTTATTCAACCAAAGTTGAATAAATGACATATTGAACTCAGCTGAGCTAATCTTTATTACAAATATTAAGGATTGTTTTGTAAAGGTGTTTTTACCTGGTTGCTGGCCACTGCAAAAATCTGTTGATGGTTACCACTCATGAAATAATTCAGTACAGAACTAGTTTTGAAAAGGACAAGTTGTTGGGAAGAAGTCAATAATATGGTCAGTAACTACGCAACATTCTCTTCCTTCTTTGTGACATTTAAACCATTTTCCCCGCAGAAGAACAGAAGCAGAGACAAATCACTGCTTACCATCTGGATGCTCATATGGAAGCCAATGATGTTTGCTGTTTTGATACTCAAAGTGGGAGTTGCGTTGCTGACACTGCTGGGCTCGGAAATCTTCATGAAGTTTTGGACATTCGTCCAGGTTGCACAGCTGATATTCAAAGTTGATACCCGTGCAGTCTTGACCCCCATTAAGAGGCCTGGGAGGGAGAAAAAAAAATTAGGAACAAAATCAGATTAATCAGGATTTAACTGTGCCCCCCCCCCACTCTGCCACATCAAAACACAAATGCTATTTTTGTGGTGGGTGGGATTCCTGTCCATCTGAGCTGGCAAGAGGAAATGGAGCTTAACAACATTTCAAGGGTATTGGTTCGGAATTTAAGAATATAGTACTTCAGCATCAACTTCTTCCCATTTAGCTATTTATATTTATTTACTGACTAGCTGTACCCGGCCACGCGTTGCTGTGGCTCAGTCTGGTTAAATGGAAAAGAAAGAAAAGAGAAAGTGCACGTTTGTGTTGCTTTTACATCCAACAGATGGTGCTGTTTTTCAAAAAAAGCATGTTTTACCTGTCACAGGTGTGACATCTATATAATAGTAGCTATATAAAAACACGTGCATATTTGAATGCAACGTTGTGTCAAAATTTCAAAGCAATCGGTGAAGAACTTTCGGAGATTTAAGATTTTGAACAAACAAACATTTACATTTTTATTTATATATAGATAGATATCCTGCCTTTGCTATTTTTACAAATAACTCAAGGCAGCGAATATTTCTAAGGTGTTTCCTCCTCTTATTTTCCCTACAACAATCACCCTGTGAGGTGGGTTGGACTGAGAGAAAACGACTGGCCCAAAGTCACCCAACCGGCTCTCATACCTGAGGCAGGACTAGAACTCAGGGTCTCCTGGGTTCAAAATCACCCAGCCGGTTCTCATGGCTAAGGCGGGATTAGAACTTACGGTCTCCTTGGGTGATTGGCCCAAAGTCACCCAGCTGACTTTCATGCGTAAGGCAGGATTAGAATTCATGGTCTCCTGGTGATTGGTTCAAAATTACCTAGTTGGCTTTCATGGCTAAGTCAGGACTATAACTCACACCCTCCTGGTGATTGGTCCAGAGTCACCCAGCTGGGTTTCATAGCTAAGGAGGGACTTGAACTCACAGTCTCCCTCTTTCTAGCCTAGTGCTTAACCGCTGGACCAAACTGCCTGGTTTGGACTGGTTTTCCACCTTGATGTCTACCATGGCTATAGAAAGGATAATAATTCAGTGGCTGTCAACCCCAGTAAGTAGACAAGGCCAAGACATAAACTCTATAGTAAGGCTATAACTACTTATATTGAAACTGGCTATAACAGGGGTAGGCAACCTTGGCTCTTTTATGACTGGTGGACTTCAACTCCCAGAATTCCTGAGCCAGCATGGCTCAACTTGGAAACCTCTCCCTTCCATCTCAGCATGGCTGGCTCAGGAATTCTGGGAGTTGAAGTCCACGAGTCATAAAAGAGCCAAGGTTGCCTAACAGAACCTTGCAAGTCTAATTATGTGGATCCCCTCCTCTTCCTTTTTATATTCCACTGAATCTAAGTGAACCAAATTCTTCCTACGGGTATTCATTTTCCACAGGTGGAGACCAAATTCACCTGTGTAATTGGTAACCCTTAATCTTGGGAGATACTCCCAGGCACAGGGGTGGATATTATTTTTCACTGCTGGTTCATGAACTCAGATACTTTTTTGGGGTCAGGATAAGTCATACCTATGGACACGCTCAAGGTTTTCAGTTTTTTTTGGTCATTTTCTTCACAAAAGCCTATTTTAGAGCTTACATTAAATTTATACATATATGGGTCCAACCTACAAAATAGGAAATACGTATAATTTTGGGGCCATAAGTTGGCCATTCCTGCTGTAGTCTCTCCCCCCCCATATATATTCTACAGTCTATATATTCATATCTATCTATCTATCTATCTATCTATCTATCTATCTATCTATCTATCTATCTATCTATCTATCTATCTATCTATCTATCTATCTATCTATCTTTCTATCTATCTATCTATCTATCTATCTATCTATCTATCTATCTATCTATCTATCTATCTATCTATCATCTATCTAGATCTATTTATCTCTCATCTATCTGTCTGTCTGTCTATCTATCTCTATTTATCTCTCATTTATCTCTCTCTCTCTCTCTCTCTCTCTCTCTCTCTCTATCTAGATCTATTTATCTCTCATCTATGTCTTCCTGCCTGCCTGCCTGCCGATCTATCTATCTATCTATCTATCTATCTATCTATCTATCTNCTCTCTCTCTCTCTCTCTCTCTCTCTCTCTCTCTCTCTCTCTCTCTTCTATCCTCTGTCTTCTGTCTTCTATTTTCTAGGATGGATGGATGGATGGGGCAATGGCTCAGCACTTAAGAAGCTGAGCTTGTCAGCTGGAAAGCTGAGAGCCCAGGTTTGAGAGCCGAGTACTGTGTGATGGGGTGAGCTCCCGTTCCTTGCTCCAGCTCCTGTCCACCCAGCAGTTTGAAAGCAGGCAAATGCAAGTAGATAAATAGGTACCACTTCGGTGGGAAGATAACAGCATTCTGCATATAGTCATGCTGGCCACATGACCACAGAAACATCTTTGGAGAATGCTGGCTCCCTTGGCTAAGAAATGGAGATGGGCACCACCCTCTAGAGTCAGATATGACTGGACAGGGGAAACCTTCATAGATATATGTGAATTAAATGGAAGTTTATATGCAATTTTGTTTTTTAAAAAAAATCTGTAACCGCAAAAATGGCAGCAAACGCTGCACCAATTTACAAGGGATTGTTGCACTGTCGTGTTCTGAAGCGAACGCCGGTTCCACAGGTCCTGGAGCAGGAGCCAAATTTTGTCCAAGCTCCCCAGCTGCCATCTTGTTTCAACTGGTTTGTATTCTTCCACATGCAGTGACCTTTATAGCACCACTGAGAGGAGAAAGAAGAATAGACATTCTGTTAGTAAAGAGAAATAAAACCTTTAAGGAGATCTCGCTTCGTAATTTACGCCTTCCCTGGGAGGCAACGGCAGAGAAAATGATTCCCTGGTTTCCACCTTGGAAAAACTGAGGTTCAGTTTGCTGTGCCTGGAACACGTGGCACAGTGTTGAAAATTGAAAATTTAGAAGCTCTCGACTTATAACTGCTTGCTTATTGATCATTTGAAGTCGCAATGGATCTCCTGCAGGGTAAGTATGAGCCAGATTCCAAGTCCCAGTGGCTGAACCATCTTCCATAAGATGATATTTTTGGAAAAGCCGTCCAACAACCTGAAGGAGTTTTAGATGAGATGTGGGGAAGAGAGACAACTGTCTGCTCTCTGCATAAAGGGCCCGTCAACTTCCATCACTTAATGCTGTCAAAATATTGGAGAAGGAGGAACCTTTCAAGGGACTTTAACCAAACCACTTGAGGACCACCTGAGCTTGGCGGTAGAATATTGTCCTAGTGTTGCAAAAGAGAGACATAAAACTGGAGGAGGGGGAGAACTTGAAATAGGACATTCGTTGCTAAAGGAAGCCACCAAAGAGCAACACTCTACATTGCTTGGGTCTTATCTGTCATTATAATTGAAGCCCACCAGTCCTTATTTATTTATTTTATATCTGGCCATTATTATTTTTATATCTCCTGGTGATTGGGCCACCCAGCTGGCTTTCATGGCTAAGGTGGGACTAGAACTCACTGTCTCCTGGTGATTGGCCCAATATCCAGCTGGCTTTCATGCCTAAGGCGGGACTAGAACTCACCAACTCCTGGTGATTGGCCCAAAGTCACCCCGCTGGCTTTCATGGCTAAAACAGGATTAGAACTCACAGTCTCCTGATAAGCGGCCCAATATCATCCAGCTGGCTTTCATGCCTAAGGCGGGACTAGAACTCACTGTCTCCTGGTGATTGGCCCAAAGTCACCTAGTTGGCTTTCATGCCTAAGATGGGACTACAACTCACTGTCTCCTGGTGATTGGCCCAAAGTCACCTAGTTGGCTTTCATGGCTAAGGCGGGACTAGAACTCATGGTCTCCTGGTGATTGGCCCAAAGTCACCCCGCTGGCTTTCATGGCTAAAACAGGATTAGAACTCACAGTCTCCTGATAAGCGGCCCAATATCATCCAGCTGGCTTTCATGCCTAAGGCGGGACTAGAACTCACTGTCTCCTGGTGATTGGCCCCAAATCACCCAGCTGGCTTTCATGCCTAAGATGGGACTACAACTCACTGTCTCCTGGTGATTGGCCCAAAGTCACCTAGTTGGCTTTCATGGCTAAGGCGGGACTAGAACTCATGGTCTCCTGGTGAGTGGCCCAATGT